AGGGGAGCAGAATCAGGCTCCCAGGCTCGGGTAGGGCTCGGAGAGACAGATCACCAGCAGGGAGGATGTCTGTCCCTTGGGGATCTCAAATGTTCACCTATAACTGGTCCAGCCTCTTCCACCTTCAGAATCCTGGTTGGAAAACTGGTATTTATGTGTCCAGCCTGTCTGCAGCTCTGCAGGATCTTGGCATGCATGATAGGAAACCAATTCCCGAATAATGGATTGCTCATTATCATTTTCTCCACTCCTCAGGGTACAAAGCGCCTCAAGGGAATGTTACTGTCTTGGGAATCGGTTCCTAAATCGGTTTCCTCCACTGGGAGGCAAAGGGCATTCTAACACCCAGCTGCTTTCTGAGAAGCAGCAGAGGGCAGCTGATCTAACGTAACTGGTACAACCACCAGATTTTTTTGTCTTTAAGGCCTGTTCCTAGATTTATGGCATTTTGTTCCCCAGGGGTTCCATTTGTCCCTTTCCCCCTTTTCTGAGTCACTTCAATCAATAACACATCAGCTCCTCTGCTTTTCCATGACTTACTGAGCACCACAGTTGGGCTGGGTAGCTAAGCAGTAACGTTGATGGTCAAGAATAAACAGCCTCAAGATTACTAGCTTCACATGCTGATATTTCCTGTGACAATATAATTGCAGCTGTATTGTAAAAACATTTCCAAGTGTTCACCAGGGCTGGAAAAAGTAGGTCAGCGCTACAGACCTGACTCCTCCTGACCTTGCTTTGTACTCTTCAGCTGAATAACTAATAAAAGAAAAAGTTTATAACATGAAATACATGTAAAAGCTCAAAGATTGAACAAAAGGTTAATCTCCCTAACAGAAATTAACAAACTGCATGAATCAGGATTTTCTTTATAGTCTGTTGTGAGGGATAATAGCTTGGCAGTTTAAGACAGACCCTAGGCCTTCATTTCAGGCTTTAGGATCTGAAAGTCTTGACTGAGTGTATGTGTCTGCTATGAAATGTATAAACTGCAAAACATAAATGTACTTTGAAAATTCAAGCATCTTGGCATTTCCTGATGATGCTGCTGACCTAAATGGAGGTAGAAGCTCAGAATTAAAATAAATAAATGATTAGGTTAGATAATGGAAGCTATTAGAGCAGAACCCTAATTAATAAATTTGTGAATTCATTTCCTCTGCTGCACATATTAGCCAGGCTTAGTGGAGTGACCTTGTACAAATCACCTACCCTTTCTACTATAGATCTCAGTTTCCCCATCTCTAAAATGTAGGAATTGGGCTCTCAGGTTCTTTACATCTCTAGCAATGGCATATATTTTTCTACTTACATAAACCAGGATGTAAAAATCCCACAAACAAATAAGCAGTGAGCTTAGGATTTTTTCCTTTTCATTTGTTGAATTTTAGGCTATGTGGCGCTATTTATTGTCTCCAGTTCCAAACATATACTATCATATTATCTGGATAAATGGAAACCTCTGTTCGGTTTTAATATGATCACATCGCTGGCACAGGATAATTTAGATGCCAGCTGGGAAAGTGACTGATAGTACCGCATAGGAACATTGATTGATTGATCAGGGTCAGTTGCTGCCAATCACCTCCATGGATGAGAGAGCTTCCATGGCCACAGCTCCGTGGCAAAGGAGAGGTGCATTATCCCTTCCAATGGGCTGACCTGCAAGAGCTCAACTGCACAAAGGCACACAGTAGGTTAAAATACTTTGAGGTTCCCAAGCATATAAGTTTCAGGGCCTGTGTGAAATCAGTTGTTCTTCATTCCACATCTCTCTCTTGTTGTTGATTTAATGTTCAGTTGTTTTCAGTCCTGTCTGACTCTTCATGACCCCAGTTGGGATTTTCTTGGCAAAGATACTATAGTGGTTTGCCATTTTCTTCTCCAGCTCATTTTACAGATGAGGAAACTGAGGCAAACAGGGTTAAGTGATTTGCTGAGAGTCACACAACTAGTATGTGTCTGAGGCCAGATTTGCATTCACAAAGATGATTCTTCCTGACTCCAGACCCAGCACTCTAATCACTGTGCCCCCTAATTGCCCCTGATGATTTAATAAGGACGAACAATTCATTAAGGATTAATTTAGAAGCACCAAGTGAAAAATGTAACAGTGTAGCTCTTGAGTTATACTTGAAGGAAAGATGCTCCATGATGCTCTAGGGTTGGGTCTGGCCTAGGGAGGATGGAGACTCTTCAGGAATAAGTTGTTCATAACTCCTTTAAAAGCAAAGTCAAGTTTGGTGGGGTTGAATGAACATGGACTGGTGAGTGTGGGTACGAAGGATTTTATAGGGGGTTAGAGTCCAGATCTGGACCTAAAGAGAAAAGCAGTCAATCATTACCTTACAGTCCTATGTTATATTTCATCATTAAGGCAAGTGTTAGTTTCTGGCACTAGGTACAATCTGAATGTGGAAGATCACCTACCTAATAACCAAACATGATGCATTGGAAGGGGCATTATACTTGGGAGCAAAAACTATGTACCAACTCAAAAAATATTCCAGTGAAGAGGATCGCATTTACCATTATTACAAATCACCTTTAGGTAGTTAAACTAAAAATGTCATTGGAAGAAAGCTTCTGGGCACACCAATATCTATCTGAGATTGTCTTTAGTTATGATTTTTGAATGGAACGATCTGCTACTATTCTCAAACCAGAGATCAAGGGAGTAACTAAAACATTTAGTTAAAAATAAGAACTTTCAGAATTCCTCTTGACTGTGGACTACCATCTGAGACCACTTAGCTTTTCACTTGATTTGAATTTAAAAACATGACTATAAATGGGAGAAGGAATATTTATTTAAGTGTCTGATTATTACTTCCTCTGGTCAGGCTGTAGAAAAGAGACAGTTTATTGCTCATTTAATTACTTGAAAGCTTTGTTGATATTACCCTCAGTTGCCTTCTCCAAATTGAAATTTACTTATGTAGTATACATATCCCCCCAATAGCATATAAATTCCTTGAGGATGACTTTAATTTTTTGTCTTTATATGCCTAGAACTATGTCTTGCCATAGTTAATGCTTAATAAATATTTGTTGAGTTGATTTCAAAGTTCTTTCAGAGTAGTAGAAATCTAAGGGAGGGTTGAGTCCCTTTGAAAGAGCCTGTAACTCACCCAATGACTTCTCAGTGAAACTCAGCAGCAGTGCTGCCAAACCTGTGGGCTTTCTATGATCATAGGCAGGTCGTTTTAAATTTCTTTTTCCCCCTGTATGGCTGTGTTATTGTGAATCCCTCAAAAAAAAATAAAGATTACTCTGCATTTCAACTCCTTTTATAGCTACCCACAGATTTCTGGGCTTTTGCTGATGATAGCATATGGGCCCGTGGCACAAAATCTGTAGGCAGCAGCATCCTTGGGGCATTGCAAGAAGACCTTGTTTCTAGCAATATTGGCAGAATATGAGACTTATCTTAAGATTGCACAGCCTAAGGGCAGGAACTACACAGCTATCTGTTTTAAAAGTTACTAAGTTTATTCCTTTACACAGAAAGGGATGAAAAATAACTACTTTACTCTGAGAGACCACGGTTTGAGGAGGCATTGGTTATACCTAAAATCTGTCTTCTGTGCCCTGTAATAATGGGTCTAATATTTAAACAGCCTTTGGCCCACCTGTCAGGTATCTCCACTGTAGATAGGCCATTCTTTTTTTAATATCTGTCCCCTTAAATTGAGCTATATCTTGATTACAGAACTGAGTGGTTCCTACTTATCTACTCAAGGCCTAGACTTTCTTTAACTCAATAAATATGGGGTTATTAAAATTTCCTCAAGTGCATTTGCATCTCTTGCAAAAAAGCTTTATACAAAATGGGTTTAAGCAATGAAGGCGTAACAGCTCAGCTTGATGGAATCCAGGAAGAGATCCATCTGGACAGATTTCTCTCCAAATGACAAGCATTGCTAAATGTAGTTCATTCCTTAGTTGTAAAATACTGGCCACTTCCTGTGGAGAGAATGGGGCAGCTAGTTGGCGCTGTGCATAGAGTACCAGGTCGGCAGTCAGGAAGACCTGGGTTCAAATTTGGCCTCAGACACTTATTAGCTGTGTGACCCTGGGCAAGTCACTTAACCTCTGATTGCCTGACAAAATGGATCCACTTACAATGGCCCTGGGACGTAGGTGCTATTATCAGCCTCATTTTACAGATGAGGAAACTGAGGCAATCAGTGGTTAAGTGACTTGCCCAGGGTCATACATCTAGTATGTGTCTGAGGCTAGATTTGAACTCAGGTTTTCTTGACTCTAGGCCCTGAATAAGATTATCCACTGTGCTACCTTGAATCTTAGTTTCATAACTTGCTAAAATTCTGTCTTTTGCTGAGATATTCTTGAAAGTGTCAGAGTATCAATTTAAGTGATATTATAAACACCAAAAGTGTAATCTAGATTATATGTATCAATCTTCTCTACTTTTTCTCTAACAGTCTCGAAGCCATTTTGGTACTTGGTATTCCTTTTTATAGCGACAAGGTGGTATAGTGGATAGAATAGGAGCTCATCTGTCAGGAAGATCTGCGATTAGCTCTGTCTTGGACAGACTGGGTGCATGACATCGGGCAAACTTCTCGGTGCCCCAGTAGCCTCTAAGTTTATATGTTGTCGAGAAATTACTGTACTTGTAGAGGGAGTTTTCTCCCTTGGAGTTCTCTATCAATTAAATCGGAGGTCTGGTACAAAAAATATTCTTGGGAAGCTTTTTAATGATGGTAACTGCATGTATAAATACTAAGCTACTAATAAGCAGAAAAAAATGACTCATATTTTTTCTCCTGCCAATTTCCTCCTAAGAGCTTGGAAAATATTCTGGATTCCACTTTCTATAGGAACCTCTAGAAAAGGTGAGATGCAATATTTTACAATGAGTGAATAAGTTGAGAAAAAATATTTCTGAATGCTTTCATTAATTAAAAAAAAAGCTATCAATATTTTTGGATTTCTAAAGGCAAAATTTAATAAATTAATACAAGCATGCCAGATAAAAATACAAAATTACAACAGAAAACCAATAATAATAATATAAAAGAAAACGCTCAGTGTTGTACATTTTATTGGCATGGATAACTGCTTAAAATAACAATCAGAAAACACATTTTGTTCTTGTTGGAAACAAAGTACTACATGATAGAAGAGCTGAGAGAAACCAGAAATAAACCACCCAATAAAAGTTGGCAAATGATAATAGAGAATGGCAATGCGTGAGCCCAAGGTACTGTTTCACACATTTTTTTTTTTGTAAGTATCAGAAACTAATGACCTAGAACATAAAAGCAAAATCACAACAGGTTTACACTGAGAAACATGCTGAATTACAACCACAGACTATCCAGGATGAAGAAGCTGCACTGTTTTGTTGTTTCTTTAGTAAAGAGATCTCTAGTCCAAAGGGGAGCCAATCATGCAATAGCTTGAGGTTCCTTTAACATGATAAACACCCAGGATTACTAGTACTGAAGCTTAGGCGTTAATTGTTGGACAAGGACAGCTGAGTGGCACTACACAAACAACAGAAAATTCCTTCATTTTTATCTGGTGCATACCCAAAGCTCTAATCAAGAAATAATTCAGCTAGAAGAGCCAATTAAATTACTATAAAACATTCCTTCATCTGTAGAACATAGCTCTCTTCTCTTTATGCAAAAGGGAAAATTCAAAATAAAATGTCTTCATTTTTGATAAGCATCTCCACCACCAGTCTCTGATACCGTATATCATTCAGGGCCGCCATTGCATCTAATTCTGGAGATCTCATGAGGGTGGGTCCAAAAACAATTCCAAGATTCTCAGCATTCATGAGGTTTTCCTTTTCATGAAGGGTTACCCTAAAAAAACCACACACACAAGAGAAGTCAAAAATCTTTTCATTAATAAGCAAGAGTTTGTTTTCTCAAAGTCAGATGGCTAGAGTGGACTAAAATATCCAACTTAGAATGTATGCTTGCTCCCAATTGAGTATATTAAATGCTGTGCCCTGTCAATTCAATTCAAATCAGTTCAACAAGTATTTATTAAAGATATTCTGTTTGCTAGACACTGTGCTAGGTACTGGGAAGACACATCTCAACCTATTAATTTCCTTGAAGTGAATTCATTTAATGATTGATGTGAAAATTCCACATAGTTCACTGAGCACTCAGGCCTAAACTAAGGCATTGGACTAGGTGGGCTCCACCTTCTTTCTATTGTCTCCAAGGAAATTAATAGTAATAATGCCTTATGTAGCAGTTGAAGGCTTAAAAGAGTACTTTTGTTACAACAGCCCATGAGGTAGGTGGGGAGATATAATAACCTCACATCTCATGGATGGGAAAATGGGGAGGGCTTAAGCGACTTGCTTATAGTCATGCGACTTTCTTCATTTTTCTATGCCTTAGTGTTATGGGTACACAAATGATGGAAATGATGGAAAGGAGCCCATGGACTTCACTCAGAAAGGACATTTTCAGCATGGCAGATTGCATTGTTCTCAGCTATAAAGCTGAGAGACGCTGGGGACTGAATCATTTTGGAAGGTGAATTTTGGAAAAGAGCCAAAAAAAACCGAGTAATTTCAGTCCCTCTTGGCATAACATCACAGATCTAGGGCTGGAAGAGGTCATCAGGCCTAACCTCCTCATTTTATAGATGACAAATCTGAGACCCAGGGAAATTAAATGACTTGGCCAAGGTAGTAAGCATACAGGTAGGCATTTGAGGTGGGATCTGAATGCAGATCCTTTGACTTTAGTTAGTACTTTTTCCATCTTCCACCACCAAAGAAGACAAAATTTATTGCCTATACTATAGTCCTTCATCTCAAACAAATCATGGCTAAGTGAGGAAGAATAAACATCTTTTTAAAAATTTTTTAAGGGGGAGGGCCACTGGAGTAACATGGCAGGAAGCAAACTTTGACTTGTACCTGAGGTTGCACACATTAAGTAAAGGTTCTAAATAACATGGAAGAAACATCTGGTCTTCTGTAAAAAGTACTAAGTATTCATTTTTTGGGAAGCTCATAAGTTATGAAAATATTTAACTGTTTTTGCTTCAGGGCCACTTAATCTCTTAACCCTGAAAGATTCCATTTAAACTTATAAAATGGTCACTACCATCTGTCTGGCACAGTGCTCTATATCTAGCGGGCATTTGTCAAATTTGTTTTTGTTATAACTTTGTTGCTATTCTCATATTTTTGTCATATTTTTGACTGGCCATGAGATTTTCAAACCACTAGAATTCCATCTTTTCAGCTTGGAGAGATATCAGAGTGGCTGAGAAATCATACAACAACACCTGTACCCATTGTTTTAGTATATAGAACCAGACCTTGTGAGGTACGAGAAAAAGCGTATTATCCTTTCCCTTCTTCTCCTAACCTTCTAACTCTAACCTTTTCACACCAACCCATTTGACTCTAATTAGCACCAGCTCAGGCAACACTCATTGAAATCACTGAAAACCTGAGCAGAGATTTTAACATTTAAACAAGAAGATTAAAAAAAAAAAGTCAGTTTCTCAAATCTCAAAGGTGGTTTGTTGCTTCCAATTTTCCATGCTAGAATCTGTGAAGTTTCATTCTTTGTACTCTCGGTTGAGAAGACTTTGTGTATTTGGCAGAACACGAATATTTCTGGCACGGTAACCACAAATAGATACTGCTTTGTCAAACTTGTTTCTGCCCTAATCAAGTCTGCATTCTCTTTGGTTGTGTAGAATGCTGTTGATGCTCTTTCAGAAATGCCTTTCCAATTCTTGAAGTTTTCATTTCCATGTGTCCTATTGTGATTCAGGTCATGGATTTCTCTGAAAGTTGCTGTGTCTAATACACAATATAAAGGTCTGACAGACTTGTTCTTCGACTACCTTCTACTTTGAACTGAGGAAAAGGCGTCCTAGTGAATACACTCATTGCTAGACTGTTCAGAATTTGGAAGGTTTCCTAGATTGACCCTCACAAGTGTCATCTAACAAGTAAGAACTTTGGGGCAGCTGGGTGGTGTTGTGGAGAAAGCACAGGCCCTGGAGTCAGGAGGACCTGAGTTCAAATCCAGCCTCAGACAGTTGATACTTACTAGGCATGTGACACTGGGCAAGTCACGTAACCCTGATTGTCTCACAAAACCAAGAACTTGGCTATAGGTGAGGATAATTGTTCTTCACAAGTGTGATGCTTAAAAAAAGTGTAACAGAAGTGTCTTTGTAAAGTTGTGCATAAGTTAACCTTTTATAAACTGATTCATATTTTAAGGGTGTTAAGGGGCCTTGGTGTTTCGTAAACAATATGATTAATCCTTTTGACAGGTAGATAATCATTTCTTAATATAGGTTTATCAATCTGAATTTTTACATATATTTTGTTTTAATATAGAAGCTTTGTTTTCTATCTAATAAAGACATAAATATACATGGAAATCAGGACCATCACTCATTTTCCTATGTCAATGAATAAAACAGATCATCACACTTTTCAGGGTCTGCCCACTGGAATTAGAATAAGCAATACAGCTATAAAAGGACCCATCACTTATTCCCTCAGCTACCCATCCAATCCAAGCCCACAATTTTAACAATCAACTAATTAAACATTTGTGTGCCCTACCATGCCATATGACGGGCCCTGTGCTAAGCACTGGGGGCACAAATGCAAAAGTGAAACATTCCCTTCTTCAAGGAACTGACATTCTATTCGCATCTACTGGGAACCCATTCCCTCATTTCTATGAAGATTCCATCTTAGCAGCCTTTGGTCTATTTCAGTAAAGGTCCTATTGAGATTTCCACGGCAGATGAAGGGACAAATCCCCGAATACCACATTAGGAGGTAGGTTGCTATTTATTTATTTATTTTTATTGTCAGGTTACAAGTCATGCTTGGAAAGCAGGATAAGTCACTTACCTCTTTAAATGTGCCATGAGATACCGAAGCGTTTCACAGTGCGCAGGCGGCAGTAGTTTCAACGCTTCATGAAGAGTTTCCAGCTGTTCATCAGGATCCAAAGTCTCTGAAACAGTAAGTCACATATAATCCTGATGGATGACTGATATGGCTGACCCATATCCAACTCTTAACATGTAATTTCTACCAGTGTTGAACAATGCTCTCTCTTACAAATCCATGCTTGTGATGTTTTCTCCACAATTTCTAATGTTCAAATTGAAGATTCCCAAAGGCAGGAATTTCAACTTGTAAATGCTATTTATTTGAATTTTGGGGCAGAATCCAGTTTCCTCAAGGATGTTTTGCTGGAATCTGATACTTCTGTCTCAAATCTGCTGAAGAAAATTGGCCATGACCAGGAAAACAACATTGCTATATATATGGTGCAACAAGAAGACAGTGAATGAAACTGTTAAAAAACAAACATACCAGAATCTATCCGCAGAAATGAGAGTTGTCCTTCAGAGCAGTCACCTTGGGGGGCCTGACCTATTCTAACAGGGCTGCTGTTGCCCAAAACCCTTCTGGAACACTGCAGAACTGCCTTCAGAGTGAATTTATGAACAACACAAAATGAATTTTCTTATAACTGCTTTTTGACTGAAAATGGTATTACCCAGCTAGGTCTTCTATGGGAATATATCTGTCAATCTTGGTTTTAAATGATTTTTGGCTCTTTCCAGAAATGAAATTCAACCTCAAAAATGGTACCCTTGAAGAGATTCTGAAGAGCCTACAGGCTCTCAAGGCACTTTCAAAGGTGTTCTAAAAATGGTTTTAAAATGGTAGCATCTTGAAGTAGTTATATAGCTTCTCAAAGAGGCTGCTTTTAAGAGGTAAATACTAATATTTCTGCATAAGTTCTGGTATTTAAAAAACTACACAGTTTATAGTCAGTCATACCTTTTATTTCTAATCATCCATCATTCCCTCCTAATTTGAGCTGTTTTAATCTTTTGAATTCTAATTCAGGCATCCAAGGAGAAACATACAGTACATTCTTAATGCTATCCCCAAACCATTCGTCCAGCCAATTCCTAACTGGACCAAGGCCACATAAGACTTAAAATCTAGGCTTCTGATTACCAGTTAGAGAGACTCTATTCCATTTCATCCAAACTCTGAAGAAAACAACCAAATGATAATGACTTTGTCAAGATGAAAAAGCTCCATTACAAGGTACCCCTATACCCAACCAAATGGCTAGATTTCTTGGTTTATAAGTGTAAAAGAAAGGGATAGATTTGAAAGCAGTTTCAGAGAGGGAATAATAAGTGAAGCCTCTTATTCCAAGGAACTATGACTCTGTACAATTCCTGCCCAAAGCTACACAATCCCAACTTCATGTCTTTGCAATAGAGAATACATTGTTTGACTTTTCCAGGACAATTCCAAGACAAATTGTCACCATAAGGTGACAATTTATAGAAAAGGGATGTCATGTCATATCCCAACTGATGAAATTCAGTCACTGGAAGGTTTCAAGATCAACTGCTAGAATTTAAAAAAAATAAAATTTCATTTGTTATGTACTTTTTTCTGCAACAAACTTATTCTCAAGTGACACTAAATGGAGAATTTCAAAATGAATTAGAGATCCTGAGGAATCTCTCAACTCTCAAAGTTAACATTATTTCAAGAAGCCACCAGATGGAGCTATTTTAAGAGACTGTATTTGGAGATTTTTATCTTTCATATGTGAATGGGAGATCACAGGATGGTAGATTTAGATCTGGAAGGGAATTTAGAAGGGCAGCTAGAGGAAACTCCTCATTTTGAAGATGAAGAAAGAAAGGTAAATGGATTACCCAAAACCACCTAGAGGCAGATCTAGGATTTGAACCAGGAATCCTCTTGCTCAGAATCTAGTGTTCTTTCTATTGTACCATATTATGTTAGTGAACTGGTATACTGTATATGACACTGTTTTTACTGGTACTACTCTGAAAAAGCAGTAGACAACATCGATATTCTTTATTGCTCAGATTTCTGAGTGATTGTTTATTATTATTATTTTGTAGAAACAAACAGGGATGTGTAACTTTGCTCAAATTTCCCAAGAAATCCAAAATATTCCTAATTTTTATTCTGGTGGTTATATTCACAAGAACACAGAGAAGATGACCCCAAAATCAGACATGTTTCATCAAATAAGTTGAGAGTAATAAGTCAGAAACATCTCCTTCTGAAGCTCAAACTTCTCATCTGTAAAGCCAGATGACAATACTCCCTACCTTAGAGGTTTATTGTGAGTAAATACTTTTTTCAAGTCTCTAAATGATATATAAATATAAGCTAGTAATAGAGTTAATAGCAAACATTCTAGATGCATGGAGAGGCTTTAATATAAGGATGTGTAATTATAAGTTCTTCAATATTCATGATCAGTTTCTTATAAGTGAATAAGAATATGCGAAGATCTAGAGATAGATTGCTAATCAAAGAATAAGTCATTAAAGTTAAGAGGGAAAAATAGAGATGCTCTAATTTCCAGACTTTTGTTCTACTTGGGAAAGTATGGATTGAATGGGACAGAGAAAACTGAGTTCTATTTCTAGAGATTCTCTCATCTCCTCCTTCGTTTGATTTTAATTCTTTTGAGAAAAAGCCTCCTAGATTCTCAGGAGAAAATTAGTAAGGTCATTAGTATTTTTTTACATTAGCACCATTACCCTCTAAAATTTTGCAGTACCTTCTACAGTACATCCTGACTGAAAAACTTCCATGCATTGCCATGTACAGTGAAATGAGAGAGAAACTTTTCCTGATCCCTCTAGATGATTGGTTAGCTCTCCTGCCACTTTCCAGGAGCTGTTGGCCCCATCTTCCTATGGGACCAACTGACCTCCTGCACCCATCCTATCACATAATAGAGGACCAGACATGGAGTCAGGAAGACCTGAGTTTGAATGTTGACTCACTAGCTGAATGACTCTGGGTAAGTCACTTAAACTCTCTTAGCCTCAATTTCCTCATTTGTAAAGTGGGGATAAGACCAGCACCTACCTCACAGAGTGTTTGTGAGGACCAAATGAGATATTCTATAATTATCTCCTTCATAAACCTTAAAGTGATCTGTAAATGGAAGCTGTTATTATTTCCTATAATAAATTTCTTTCAGACCTCAAGGCCTGTTTAGACTCACGGAAAAACAGGCTCAACAGAAGCAGAACAGCTCCTTGAGGAGAAATCTTCAAGTTGAACCGCTAATCTGCTTCAGGGAGGGCAGGCACGATGGTGATGACAATAGATGGAAAAGAAACATCAGACTGCAGAAATCTCTTTGGGCAAAGAGGGATGAAAACACCTGACAGCCACTGAATTAGATGTTTGTTGAACACTGAGCAGAGTTTAGGAAAGACTTGGCCCCCCCCACCTTTTCTCTTTTTTTCCTATTTTTTTCCCCCTCCCACCTCTTGGCTTTCAATTCCTTTAAGAAATACCATGCGTTGGCAGGTTGTGTCTCATCTGAGCTTTTAGGAGGAGAGGCTCTATATAAATCTATAAATAAACAAAACCTGCACTCGAAATAGAGAGCTCCATAAATGATGGTACCAACATCAGACATGTAAATTAAATGCTGACACTATGTTCAGGCATTTGTGCTCAGCAGACCTGAACTAACACATGGTGAGTTCCTAAAATTGTATCATATCCCATCGCACTGCCCCCTACCCCCAAAGTATGATATGAAAAGGAAGTGAAAATAGAAAAAAAAAATTTGTACTTCACATCTCTCTGTGTATATGTATGTGTATGTATATATGTATATATATATATATATATAGAGAGAGAGAGAGAGAGAGAGAGACAGAGAGAGAGGGGGGAGGGAAGGAGGGAAGACTGAGGAAAGGAGAAAGAGGGAGGGGGAGGAATCCAGCTACAATGCCTCACTGTCACATGGAGGTGAGTGACTCTGGATATTCAAAGGCTATAGCAGTGATACTCAATCACTGACAAAGTTCTTAAAAAACTAGAAAGACTCTAAAAATGGGCCTGGAACAGAATGTATTTGTGCTATCTGAAGACCAGCCTTGCTAATTGTAAAAAGATTACCTATCACAGAATCAGAGATCAAGGCAATATTTTTTTGGGGGGGGGGAGCAGCAACTCCTTAGATAGCCTGCCTTGGTAAAAAGGTATATCCATAGGGATGAAATAATTTTTTAGAATTGTTCTCCATAATTCATTCCTGTTCTTTTTTTTTTTTTAGCCACTAAAAAAAGCATAATGTGTGAATTTCCAAAGGACTGGATAACCTTGGAAATTCCCAGGGAGAAGAAACCAGCAAACACAAAACAAGAAAATGGTATAGCGCGTAACAAATGCTTTTTCATTCAACCATCCATATCAATACTTGGGCAGGGATGCAATTAAAAAGTAATACTCCACCTTAAACCTCTACTTTTCAGTTGGCCTATATGTATATAAAATAGCTTTAAGTGAAGGTAACTTAATGATTCTTCTCTCAGTACACATAGAAACATATCACATACAGTAAAAGATAGTTACACAGTTTAGCATAGAAGAAGCCCCACTACATGCACTGTCTGTTCTATACACAGTACCATCTGAAACATTCTTCGAGGCCTTTTTGAGAGCAATGTTACAGATGATGTTGTCAAATAAGACATGAAGGTTAATGTTTTCAATGCCTTAACCACAACTCCTTCATACCTATTCATGTCAGTCCCATCCTTCTGGTGTCCCGATCCTACCCTTGCCTATATCAATACCATCCCACTTCCCTAAAATTTCTTTGTATTCATCTATATTTGTATATCCCCCGACCCTCCCCCCCAACATAAACTCCTTGAGGGCAGAGGCCATTTAACTTGTTTATCCTTTGTATCCTTAGCACCTAGCATTTTTGTTGGCACACTAGGTGTTTAATAATTTAATTTTAATAATTCTGTGGAAATACATTGACCTGAATTAAAAATCTTTTTTTAAAAAAATCAAATTTTTCCAATAAGGGTTTGGTATCCAAGACATATAGATAACTACCAGACAAATATGCGTGTGTATGTGTGTATGTGCGTGCGCATGTGGGAATACATATATGAATGGAGGGACGGAGGGATGGGGGGGGGAGAGAGAGAGAGAGAGAGATTTCTTTTAGTATTGCTGCCTACATCCCATTCCTAGTATTTTTAAGCTGTAAAAAATGACTTATCTTGTGAGCAGTTTGTTATCATTAGCTGCAATATTGCTTCTACATTAGGAAAAGGCAACTGAATCTTATCTTCGATGATGCTATGATTTAGTCCCTGGAGCCATCATTCCCCCCACACACCCCCAGTAATTTAGTAATTTTTTTGCATTTAGAGTCCACAAACCATAAATTTAACCCTGTTGCCTAGGTTCTTAGTTTCATGAAAATTGCCCGTCAGAAGAGAAGGAAGTTCAGGGGTGAATCTCTCACAGATCAGTTCATTTGGGAGGGCTTCACTAAGAAAGTGTCTTGAGTTTGGGGAGCAAGAACATAACAGAGGGAGTTTGATAATCTGAGTTTGGGAAGACATTCTTACAGGGCATCTAGCATGAGGAAAGGTTCATGGGGGAAGGCGACCAATTCAGTTCATTGAGGAGATGAATTCAACAGCACTCATTAAGCACTATTGGTCACAGCTTGAGCTGTGATAGATAGACTCTGGGTTTACAAAACCCAAGAAGTTTCTGCTCTTCAAGAGCTTACATTACCCAAGAGTGAAAGAACACGTACACAGATAAGTAAATACAGAATAAATATGAAGCAATTTTTAAAAATAGGTTCTCTTCTGCTCCCATGGATTTAATTATCATCTTTATGTATACAACTCCTAGATACACACATATATATGTATGTATGTATATGTGTATATATATATACATATATAACATATACATAGGCATATATGTATATATGTGCTAAAAAGTCAAGCCAGCAAACATTTATTAAGGGCTTACTATGTGCCAGGCACCGTACTAAGCACTAGGATATAAATTCAAGCAGGAAGATATGCAATCCCTGCCCTCAAGGAGTTTACATTCTAATAGGAAAATAACACATAAAAGGGAGTTGGAAAAAGGGAGGGTAAAGATGAAGGGACTCAGCAGCACAAGGGCTCTATAGAAAAGACCAAGAGGAGAGTGGGGAGTGGAGCCTAGAGATGAACAAAGACATGGGTGGCCTGGGCATCCTCTTTAAAATGGAGGTTCCTGGAAGAACCAGCCCTTCAGGGGAGGGCCTACAGGAATGTAAGGTACTTCTATCCAATGTGTGGAGTTCAGAGCTGAAGTGAGCTTCTAGGATGAAGTAGTTTCTAGAGCATTATAGAGAAAGTATAGAAGGAGAGTCAGGAGTATAGCCTGCATACACACACATATATACATAGATCTATGAATATGTATGCATACATTTATAAATATGTACATATGTATAAGAAGATATATGGATATCTTTATATCTACATATGTCCAACCACAGTCTCTCTCCTGAGCCTCAGTTCTGAACCACCAGATGCCTATTAGATATTTCAAATTGGATGTACCAGAGACTTCTCAAATTCAACATGTCCAAAACTGAACTCATTTCCCCTAAATCTTACCCTCTTCCAAATGTCCCTCTTTCTGTCAAAGAAATTATCATCTCCAGGTTTGTGACCTTGGTATTATCCTGGATGCCTTACTCTCCTTAACTTCATATATTTAATCAGTTGCCAAATCTTGCAATTTCTACTTCCCAACCTCTCTCACATCCAACCCCTTCTCTTCATTCAACCCCTCCCTTAGGCTGAGCCCCTTTCCCCCACCTCAAGTCTCTCTCCATTCAAGTCCATCCTACACTCTGCTGCTAAGGTCATTTTCCTTATGCTCGGATCTGACCATGTGACTCCCCCCCATTCAATCAACTCTAGTGACTTTCTATTGTCTTTAGGATAAAATATAAACTCCTGTTTAGCTTGGCTTCAACCTATCTTGCAAGTTTCACTGTGCATCACATTCTCTCCTCTTACATTCTATGATGCAGCCAAATTGACCTTCTCTTTCTTCCTTAAACACAACACTTCATCTCTCATCCCTATTACTTTGTACTGGCCACCCTCTATGTCTGGAATGTACTCTCCTATCTCTGTTTCCCTCTCTTCCTATAAGATGTGGTTCAGATATCATCTTCTATATGAAACTTTTCTTTATCTCACATCTATATATCTATATCTATGTATGTGTGCACATGTGCACATATATATGTGTGTGTATATAATTTAGTTGTATTTATTAATTTTTTATTTATGCTATACATGTATTTAGTTATATACAAACTTATTGTCTCCCTTCTCTTACAGTCTCTTAGAATGTAAGTTCTTTGACATTAGTGACTATTTCATTCTTTGTACTTTAATCCCCAGAGCCTCACACAGTGTGTGGCACATAGTAGGCACTTAATAAATGCTTGCTGATTGACTGATTGGTGGGCAGAGCTTGGATGGACTTTGTCTCAGAGATGGCACTTGAATTTAGGGGTCAAGGAAGCTAGAGGTTTCCAAGAAGGAGAGACAGGGGAAGAAGAACACTTAGGGGTGGTGACTGTGCAAAGGTGTGGAGGTGGGAGAAGAAATGTGTAGAAGGAAAAGCAAGAAGGCCAGTTTGGCTGCAATACAGATTATATGTGGATGAGTATTAGTAAAATCAGTCTAGAGAGATAAATAATTTGAAGTCAGATCATGAAAGGGGTTTAAGTGCCAGAGAATGATAGGAAATGAATATTTTTCCCTTAGTGTTGTGGGGTGGGTAGAGGGAGTGAAGGCAAATTAAGTTATCTGGGCCAGCTTGGTAAAGGGTAATGTGGCAAGGATAACATTGCTGATGTCATCACCAAATGTAATACAAAGGTCATCCTCTTTATGCATGTAAAGTAGCAGAGAAGTTTTCTATTAACACAGCTCTCCAAAGTTGGTTCTTGCTCTTTTTGCAGCCATGAAAGAAAAGAGCATAATGGGAGAACTTCTGAAGAACTGGGATTTGGCCTTAAACCTAGGAAATTCCCAGGGGAGGAAACCAACACAAAAGAAAACAAGAAGCCGGGGTAATTCCCACCCACTTCCCTGGCTATCCCCAAGTCTGTTCTGTGTCAGTTCTCTGATACAAAAGAAGTTAACGTCCTATGGTAGAAACCCAGGATTGTTCATGCATACCAAAATGGAGATCCCCACAAGCCAGAGAAAGAAAGCCTCCAACTTCGAATTTCTCTTCTCTACAAAGAAATGCTAGTTCAATGGCAAGAATTTAGCCCTACATGGGACCAAACCACAAAAATCCTCAACAAAAGCTACATATGGGAAACTACAGACTCAAACAAAGAAAGTTTGTTCTCTGGTTCCCAAGTCAGAAAGCAAATCAGTGTTGCTAAGGAAATGATGTTATTATTTAAGGATCAAGGCAACATTTGGTTTGGGGCTAAGAAAAAAAAACTAGCAGAAATAACCTGTCTTTTCTGAGTAATAGTGATGGCAATATTTAAGAAGAACAACATAGGGTTGTGTAAAATTTTTTTTTAAAAGAGGTCTGAATTACAAGTATGATTTCTACAGCATAAATAAAGTTTGGCAAATGAACCTTGAGTTTGTAGCTGACACACGCCTCTGAGAAAGAGCTTCTCTGTGATCTAAACCTTCTTTGAAAAAAATTCCTAGCATATTAAAAAGAATATTACTATGTCTGAAGTAATGAATAATCACTAGTAGGAAACAGAATCTGAAAAATCTGAGTTAATGTACCAATCTTGAAGAGTCACAGAAGGTAGCAAGCTACTTCTCACTCATAAGTTCTGTGAGGTAAATTTAAATGTAGAGAATTACAGGGAAGAGGAAAACTCAAAAGCAAGTATATGCAATTATTCTGAATATAGATACTCATACTTACTTGCAGAATCTATAAATTTAGGGTAGGCATCATATGTGATGAGTGGAATTGGCAAATCCCTGAAGTACAGTTTAAGTGCGCCAGTGATGATATTGATATCTTCATACATGTTCACAGAAATGTCCGCCTTTTCACCATCTTTTAAGGGAGTTAAAATTTAAAATAAATAATTACTCATATTACTGTTCAATAAAAAAATGACAAACTTGGGGGTGGGGGGTGGATACCATTTGTAAAGATCTGCCATTGTTCAATCAGAATTTCCATCACAATTCTAAATCTGGGATTTCTTGCAGTGAAAAGCAAAATCCATTCTTTCAGGATGTTCACACCAAGGTTGCTTATTTACCCTTGTTTAAGGATGGGTAAGGCTGTCCTGGTTTCTCAGCAATCTAAATATTGCTAATGGAAAATTGCAGGTTTGTTTCTTTTAGAAACACATAGGAAGTTTGGAAAAATTGTAATATATTTTGTTATAAGACCAGTTCTTCAAAACCTGTATTAATTGAACATGTTATCCCCTTCTCTTAGTTAAAAATTTATAAGTTTAGTTCAGTTTTGCCTTACAGGGCATTTAAGATTTAATCATCCAAAATATTCCTGTTCCTCTCCACTGCCTTCTTTACCTTCTTCTTGAGTGGAAATGGTCACAGCTGTGTGCATGGAAGCATATAATTGCTTAAGGTTGTGCAGAGGAAAATCGAAATGATTAGAAATATGTTATAGAATGATGAAAGCGAGACGCTCAATTTTCAAAAACATTGCTCTGCATAGCTCACACCTCATATAATGGTAGGAAGAGTATGCATGAGATGTGGAGTCAGAAGAACTGGGTTCAAATTCTGACACTGTTACTCATGACCTATTCAGGGCTTCTTAAACTGTGGGTTGCAACCCCATTTGGGGTTTAAGAAGTTTAAGAAGCACTGAATATGACTTCAAGCAAATTATCTAATCTCTTTGGACCTCAATTTCCTCATTTAAAAATAAGGGGGTTGTACCTGGTTATTTTTAAGATCTCTTTTAATTCTTAACTCTATGATACTCTGAACTTTGGTCCAAAACCTTTACTAGTTCCCCTCTGTCTATTGAAGAAAGGCCAAACTTCTAAGTCTGGCATTCAAGGCCCTTCACAATTTGGTCTTTGCTCATCATGGTACCCTTATCTTGCATTTCTCCCAAACATTATACTTCTGATCAGTGGAAGTGACTTTTTCAGTGTTTCCTCAAATACACCATGGGAACTCTCACCAATGCACCTTCACTCATGGTTTTCCTCATTGCTTGGGATACTTTCCTTCATCCTTTCCATTCACCTAAGTCCTATATTACCTCTAAGATTCTTCTCAAGATTGATATTTTTATTAATCTCCCAGGACTCTACAATCTCTTCCTCCTCTGGCTTATCACAGCATAAACTACTATACCTTTAATTTGGCTCTATATACTTTATCAACTGGTAAGTCCATTGAGGGCAAGGACAAAATCTCATACCTCTTTTGGATACCTCAGTCTTGAGCTAGTATTCCTTATGTAACAGGTGTTTGAAGAGATTAGCTGATTTGCTTGAGGTCATATTCAGTGCTTTTTAAACTTGTTAAGCCCCATATGGGGTTGCAACATGTATTGAGTCACTCACTCAACAAATAAAGAGTGCCTACTACGTGCAATACGCCATACAAGGAGGTATAAGGGATACATTGATTCACTATGGACACGAATGTTAAACATACCCTAAAATTTCACATACAATTTTATGTTTTAAACAGGGCTAGCTATAAATGGCACTATTATATTACCTAACTCATGATCTCTAGTCTCTGGCTGATTGCTCTACATATCTTGTTTCCCCAACTATGCTAAAAGCTCATCAGATATGGAGGTCACATTTTTATTTCTTTTGTATCTCCCAAAGGCCATATCACAGTATTGAGCATTTAGTAGGCATTAAATATGCAGATACTGAACTTTATTTCTGGGTAGGACAGCAAAACCCAGAGTTGACTGTTTTTAACTACATTGAGTGAGCATATCTAAAAAAATAATAAAAAAAAGACTCCCGGATTTCATTTTATTATTTTATCCATTAAAGGTAAATGACAATGAACTACTGTTCATTTTGGCCATCTGTGGTTCTTACCTTCATTTTTGTGGCTTTTATCTCATTTGAGGTTAAAATGATATTCCCAAATTGTGCTCTCCTTTAGACATTTCTGATTCATTTCACCCTTTTCTTTCTCTCTTTGGGAACTGCCCTAGGGCAGTTCAGATCTTTTGAATCAGCCCTATTGGTGTCCTAGATTCCTGGGTATTCAGAAATACCCCCTTAGAAAGTATCTCTGTGGGGCTGAGCTTTTTACCCCAACTGTGAATTTTTAGAGCTGTCTACTGCAGTCCCCTGGGAACTGAATTTCTATGTCATAACTAGACCAAGTAAATGAGGTGTCAATCATCTGTTTCTGGGGGTCATGGAAAACATGCTATTCCTCTATCAATGCTGGATTGCCTCCAGAGACTGTGGTCAGTATAGGAATTTAGGTAGGAATTTAGTCAAACGGTACTCAGAGAGAGAGAGGGAATGAAAGAAAAATGTTTCCATAAAGCTGATTTTGCATGAATTCAGAACAGCCACTTCTAGTGCATATCTGGAATGTGATCTGATTTTATCACTTAGGGAAGTAAAAGCCTGGGATTTTCCCCATTTTCCTTACCCTTTTTTATCACATGATTTTATCATATTTCATTGCTCTTTGGGGGAAAAAAAAACCTTTTCCTATATACCACAGTGGATAGAGCATTGTACTAAGAACCAAGAAGACTCATCTTCCTGAGTTTAAATCCAGCTTCAGACACTTACTAGCTTTGTGACCCTGGCCAAGTCATTTAATCCTGTTTGCCTTAGTTTCTCATCTGTAAAATGAGCTGGATAAAGATACTCCAGTACCTTTGCCCAGAAAACCCCAAATGGGATCACAGAGAGTCAGACATGACTGAACAATTGCCAATGAATTTATCTATTTCCTGGGAATTGGGGGTGGATGGATAAAGGTTTCTCCTAAAAGAAAGGTGGAAAAGAGCATGCAGAGAAAATGAGAAACAGAACGACAAAATAGGCTCTTGAAAAAGATCCCTCTTTTTGTCCCTTCACTCTAAAGTTCTAACTTTTGGTACCTTCAAGGCTGCTTTTCCTCCCCAGCACCACTCTATTGCAGTATTTAAGGCAAATGTCATACTGAAAAACCATGGAGATATCTTAATTTACATTTTTGCAAAAATAAATCTCATTGAGCCTCCCCTTTGTTTGCACACTCTTATAGCTGGAGAGCCTGCCCTAAATTCACACAGCTCCCTCCTCCTCTCCCTCACACTCTCCACAGTTCCCCAGTACAGCATGTGTGACCCAAAGGCTTCTGTCTCTTGCTTTTAATTGGAATTCAGTGAGATGCTGACCCTGGTGCAAGAGAAGCTCAGATAATACAAGCAGAAATGGGCTAGCAGATTCACACCAAGGAAATCTGAGATTATCCTTTTTTTTTGTTTTGTTTTGTTTTGAGCAGTCATTGCTTTGGGTCTATTTCGGAAGAAATGGCATTTGGTTTTGCCTATTCAACTCCGGTAGGGGCAGCTCTGGTGAATTTTATAACCCCCTGACCCACTCTTAGAGCTGGCAGTTTCCATGTTGAGCCACTCAAGAAATAAGTAGCAATCATTAGGGTTGTTCATTTGAAGCACCAATGGTTTAGAAAGTCACTTGTACAAAAATAAGTCAGTTACATAAGATACATTGGTTGTAATAATATAAATAATATAGAAAGCCATAATATTGCTTTGGTAATACATCAAGAATCTTGCTGTTACTCTTGGTGATAACAAAGACAACAACAACAAAAGCAAAAAAAAGCTGGAAACAAAACTGGGTGCTCAATGACTGGGGAATGGCTGAAGAAACTCTGGCATGTGAATATAATAGAATGTTTATTGCTCTACAAGAAATGATGAAAATGAGGAATTCAGAGAAATGTAGGAAGACCTGCAATGCAGTGATACATGAAGAACCAAGGAAACAAATACATAATGACTACAAAACCGTGAATGATACCATTAAAAATAATTCCCTTTTTTCAGTAAAGAGGTGGTGGATCATAGATGTGGAATGCTGTCATACTCTCAGACATGTAGTCATTGTATTGGTTGATTTTATGTAAATGTTTTTCTTATATGGAAGGATGGGGTCATAAACAGGAGTGGAGTTTGGGGAAAAAACTGGTATAAAAACAAAAGGCAACAATAAAACTTTGGATTTAAAAAAGAATCTTGTTGTTAATAAGCAGGTTGGAGAACATACCTCTGTCAAATGCCATTTTTACATCTTCGATAAGGTCACTAAATCCTGAGACTCTGTAGAGTCCTTCAGAGTTAAGACCTGTAAATGAAGAACATGTGAGCCAAATGAAATAGTTTAGAATTACGTGCTCTTCCTCTGAATTCTAATTTCCTTTCTTACTTCAGTGAGGGATAAGTAAAATGCCAAAAAGATTTGCTCAGAGAGGTAAGCATTAAAAACTTAGTCATATTTTTAATTCTAGAGTAAAACCACTTTATCTCATCCTTTAACCCTGACCTACTGTCAACTGAGTACTCATATTTAGTTCACAATTACTTTGTAAAATTAAATCAAATATGGTAAGCCTTAAGGGAAATAACAGTAACAGACCAATTATAAAATAACTTTAAAAAACTAAAAAGAACGTTGAGATTAGCCACATTCAGAGCACCATGGCATTTATAGTCTGGTGTAGTCCCTGGAGGGATAGAATTAGGGTGCAGATCCAATTCTTGGCTAATATTATGTTGATTAAGCATATTTCTTTATCCTCTTCAGGCCTAAGAGATCTATGACCTTAGAAAAATGGACAGATATTTACAAGTCCATCATGTAGCAAGTGCCTTCATTATAAGCAAACAATTAAATGCTTGTGGAAGTGAATTTAAATTTGGAGACTGGGAATAGGATATTTTTGCAGATTGGAAACAGGATATTTAAATCTATTTTCAAAGTAAATCTCATAGCTAGTCAACTATACCTTGAAGTGCGCCTTCTAAAGTAATGGTCATGGTAGTTAATTTCAGGCTTATGAATCATCTGCTGTGTAGATTATAGGATAACTCTCTTTATTCCCCACTCTTTTCCCCACTCCTCAAGAAAAGATGAAAATCAGGAGAAGTAGATTTGAAAAACAAGAGGGTGTCCATAAAGCTATTGGGACTCAAATTCAGGCAAATCCCTGGTAACCTAGATCAATCTAAACAGATCAGGAAGAAAGCAAACCATGAACAAAGAACATCTTACCTCTAGATTCAATTTCTCGAATGCACATGTCAACCACCATTGGCCTTTTAGTGATATGTGCTTTTACTAGTGTTGTAAGGTCACAGCTATACACTTTTTTGACGTGCTTCAGGTCTGGTTTACAGTCATTAGGGACCATCTTGGAACACTGCTTATGAACATTTAAACCACAATCTAGAAAAGAAAAAAAAAAGATGGAAAGAACTCATTCCTGTGTGAATATTTATGACCTGATTGCTTCCAGAGTATTCTAAGCAAATTAGCTAAAGGCAACTATGTCTCTTGTATTCATTTTTAGCAAAGTAACTAGTCTCATTTCACCAGACCAGGGAGAACAACATTTTTCCCAATTTATACTCATGTTCTCTAAGTCACTGAAAATCTTGATTATACTTATATGCTATATTTATCTAAAGTTTTAAGTGAATACAAGTGATTTGGTTTTTCTTTGTTACCTTTTTTTAACCTGTAGACAATCATTATCAATTGTCAGGATTACTGTAGTCATTTGATAGTTTCACCTCTATGAATTAAGAATGTGACTTAAATGTATTCCTAACTCTTCAGTTCACAGGATCCAAATATTTTCTAGATACAATACAAATGGAAAAACACAAAAAAAAACTTCTGAGATACTTTTGCTTCTCTATTTCAGGGAAAGTATAATGAAATTTTAGGGCTTTTTTTTCCCCCTAGAGGGCTTAACAAGAATAAAAAAGATCAACTTTCATAACATTAGCCAAAGTATGTTAAGAACAATAAAGTCTCAACTGGAAGAAATCCAATGACAACAACAACAAAATTACCTTCTTTAAGTCTTTGCATGCAAATCTATTAATATTGTTAACTAAGTGAAAATCTAAGAGTTGGCCTTTTGTGAACCCAGCTGGAAGTGAACCAATGTACTATGGAGCAAAAACATCATAGAGTACTATTGAGCATAACTTTTGGTTGACTTGATTAATTTTTTCTTGGTAGTCAACTAAGCAAGACCCAAAATTGAACACTCTATGTGGATGTACCACATTTCTGGGTTTAGAAATAATAAATTAGATGATAAATTATATTTGAAAATTACACAGCTAAGTATGTAGGCATATGCCAAGTTAAGTAAAAATGATAAAGGCTCAAAAGTAGCTCTCCATTGCCTATAGTATAGAGGGCTTAAACTTATTTTTGGATCCAGAATAGAAGCAATGGGTTGAAGCTATTGTGGCAGATTGCAGTTTGATGAGAAAGGAGCAGAGTTTGGGAGAGGGGTACTTTCCAAAAATTACAGCTAACCAAAACCAAAATGTACTGCTTTTGGGGGTAGTAGGTTCCCCATCACTGGAGACCTCCAACTACTTATTGGGGTTGATGTAAAGGGTTCAGGTTGGGCTGGACTAAAGGACTTCTGAGATCTCTTCAAATACTAAGATTCTGGGCAAACAGCACTTCCTTACCCTGGCATTTGAGGTTCTCCGCAAGTTGCCTTCAACCTACTTTCCCAGACTTAATCTCTTGTGCCTCTTTTGTGGATTCTACATTTCGGCAAATCTGGACTTTTCACTATTTAAAAAAAAAATCTCAACCTGCCTTCTTCTTCCTCCATGCAGTCCTATCCCTGATACCTAAAAGAGATTGCCCCATATCACTACCTGATGAACTCCTTCTACTCCTCCTCTAAGGTTCAGCTCTACCTCCTCCATGTAGCCTTCTTCAATACCACCAGCTGAAAGTGATCTCTTTCCTTAAATTTCTTATAGACTTTTTTTCTGATCTCTCCTTTGTACTTATCACATTCTGTCTCATATCATACCTAGCTGTATATATCACATCCCACCACCCCCTTAGGCTATAAACTCCTTGAGAGAAGGGACTGTGCTGTTTTTTTTTTTTTTTAACCTCTGTGTCCCTGGCACCTATCACAGAGACTCACAGTGGTTGCCTAATAAATATTTGTTAAACTGGATTCAACAAATATTTATGGAGCATTTCTCTCTGTGTGTATATATCTCTGTCTCTATCTATCTATCTATCTGTCTATCTATCTATCTATCTATCTATCTATCTATCTATCTATCTATCTATCTATCTATCTATCTATCTATCTATCGCTATGTCATATGCAGGGGAAAGCAAAGGATCTGTCTCTCTTAGCCCACTTGTTTGTAAATGAATGAGCAATAGACTTAGTGTCAAAGATTCCACAAAATTCCCAGCATGGAAACACACTAGCTGTGGTTTACCTGAATCTCTCTACGATATTGTAGCCCAATCTGAACCTTCTTTGTATAAATTATTGATTTGATCAAAGAAATGCCCCAAGAACTCACCAGCCAAAGATATTTGTAAGGTCTTTACTTGAGAAGACAAATGTTTCCCCATTTTTCCACAGAAGAAAACCCAACCCAACCTAATAAAAATAAAACCTAAGTGGTCTTCCCCAAGGCTTTCCTACAGGTTAATGGCAAAATGTCTAATCAAGCTGTTGTTGCTTTCCCTGAAAAATTTTTTTTATTTTCAGTAATTTTTCTCACTTAATGTGATTTTGGAGTCTCTGGGTATCATACAAAGTGATCAACATTTTGAGTAAAAAAATAAACTAAGTTTTAAGCTTTAATAACTTAGAACTACACTAAGATTTTTGGGACATCCTGTGTTGGTAGAGGTTTGTAATCCATGACATATTAGCTAGAATTTTACAATCAACCACATCAGAGAGTAAAACCATTTTCCATAAGTGAAGTGCTCTCTAATTTTCAAGATCTATTCCTAGATATTGTTTGATTTGAATTCAATTTGAGTTCTGAGTGAAAACACTGCTTGCAATATTTTACAGGATGGTTACTTTGCATGAGAGAAATAATTTATATAAAATTCTAGAGTATTTGTAACAACAGTTTATAATGTGGTATATTTATATAATTTTATTAAAATAATAACAACAATGTTGTCTTCCACATATGAAGAGGGTTGTTTGTGTCTGAGCTGTTTTTCCAGGGACAGGTGCCTTTGAAGTGATTCATGAACATCTTCTAACCCAGTAATAGATATTAGACCCATATTTATTACTTTGGTACTTAGTAACAAAGGATGTGCTATGACATTTTGTCTGAGTATCTCATTTATAGTCCTAAGAAAATTTTGAAATTATAATTCTAAAAGCTGCTTACAAATAATTGGTCTATTAAGCCGTAAAAAAAATAGCACATGATGAAACTTACCATACTGTTATATTTCATTACAGAGTCCCTTCCTTGTGTGGAACCTCTAAACGGAAATTCATTAGAAGGCAGAATGATGGCATTTAGTCTGGCTGTTCATCATTATACCACAACATCTGGATAAAAATGTAGTCAGTCAAATATCCAGATATTTTGTCCCTATGGCACTAAATATCTGGTATATGGCAAAAATACAAATTTTCCAGTTTTCATCTGGATTCTTTATAGGTAGAGTCTTAATTGCCTCTTATTTTAAACTTCTGCCATTCCTAAGCTCATTTGTGACTCAGTGAAAAAGAAAGGAAGTCACAACAATCATATTTGGATATATAAGGAAAAGAGGGAAAAGTCTTATCTAAATGGCTATTCTGTATTCCATTAAAGAAAATAAAATTATTGGGAAAATGAACACATCTGAATGTTGCAGTCACTTTAAAGACCTGATTTTTGTCAGGTGTAGCATGAAGTCCCTCAGAATCTCAAAATATTGGCAGAGTCACTATAATAAAGCATCCTTTTATTTCTTTAAGTTCACTGAGCAATACAGCAGTTCTGAGCTCTCTCAGAAAACTGCTGTTTCAGAGACTGGCAGGATATCAATACTTCAGGTGGCCAATAAGACTTTATTTGGTTTTTCATACTTATTTATAAAGTCATATAACTTCTATAAGATTCTATTTCCCCCCCAAGGAAGTGCTACACTATAATCAGTAGGTGGTAAGAGCAGAAGAGGGAAAAAGATCATAAAAGTAATTTCTCTTCACTGTCAGGATTGATATTAAACCACATCTTTTCTTCTCCAATTGAAAAAAAAGTATATTAAAATAGATACTAAAAAGCACAATTTAAATAATACTTTATTCTTTGAAGATAAAATATTGGGAAGGGTAAAAATATCTTATTTGGAACACTCAACTCAGGCCACCTTCTTACATGCTCCAAGCCTTGAATTCTCAGATAGAAATTATGTTTCAAATCTAAGAAACTGAGAAAACTTTTGAAGAAAAATCGTTCATGTTGACTTTGTCCTATCAGTGGAATGAAGTGGTAACATAACTCAGCTCCCATGTTGCAGAACTAAGAAATTGATATTAATCCTGCCCTGTGCCCACAAATTAAAAATAATTGGGAATAAAAGTTTTGTTTTCAAACTCTTTTGGTTGCCCCTCCAATAGAATGCCAGCTTCTTGAGGGGAGAAACTATTTCATTTTTGTCTTAGTGTCTCCAGAGCTGAGCACAGAGCCTGGCACATAACAGGAACTCAATAAATTCTTGTCAATTAATGACTTGCTTTATACAAAAAGTAGCAGCTGAGTACATATTTGCATATATTGGAATCAGCATATTTAACATGGAGGAAAACTATTTTCTTGTCCTATTTTGCCTATTGATAGAAAATTTATCTTTCACAACATGGGTAATTTTATGCAGTTTTAAGCAACTATCTATTAGGTTATATTGACTAACTCTTATTAGGTACAGTGAATCAATATATTTTACATAAAAGGCATTGATTCCATTTTAAAAACTTCAACATTAAATTGCTAGTATATCTGGTGCATTATGTTTGAATTTTATCATTAGAAAAACCTAAAACCATTTCCTTCAAGGAAGAGCCTGGAAAAAGGTAGACTAAAATAATAAAGGCAGTGGGATGAATATCAATTGAATGTGTGTGTGTGTGTGTGTGTGAAGTTAGAAGTAAATGCTAAAATGCCCTTGTTATTAGGATGCTTAGGAAAAAGGCATGCACATGACAGTGCACAGTTGCTAATTTGGGGTCTCATTAAAAAAATGACCATGCTCCTTAATTCCTTTGATTTTTTTCTGTCAAAGAATAATGGCAGAAGAGAAACTCAGTCTAGGTTCTGGCAGATAAGTGTGCTTTTCAGAAGAGGAAAAAGAACCCCTTAAAATCTCCAAGGACATGAGATTTTTTATGAGTTGTTTGCTTGTTTTCTCCCCCCGCCCCATTAAACTGTGAGCTCCTTGAGAGCAAGGGCTCTTTTGTCTTTCTTTGTGTTCCCAGCACTTAGCACAGTCCCTGTCACACAGTAGGTGCTTAATAAATGCTTGCTGATTGACTGACACAGATGTGAATTTCTTTAACCCATAAACTTGCATTTCACAAGTCCTACATAAAAAGTGCATATCTATTTGAGGAAATTATTTATGCTCTCTGACCAATGAAATAGGTTTCAAACTTTATTTTCAAAGGTCAATATGCTTTACTGTGATAAATATTTCAGTAGCAGTAGCAGCATCAACATCAGGGCTAAGCCATAATTATATAATCCATAGCAATATCATTTTAGTAGCTTTAAAGAAAGCTAGAAGGAAGGAGAATTCTGGAATGGAGAGATTAGGATACTGATTTTTTTCAATTCCAGATTCTATAAAGGCTATTTAGTGATTCACACTGGCACCATCGGCCATGCTGCCTTGTCAAATGCTCGTGTCAGCAGCTGGATGCTCAGCCCCAAGTCCACTATTGTCCCTCAGTCTTGAAGTGGACAGCATGCCTGCTGAGGCAAGAGCAAACAACCATTAGCTGTGCACTCTGATTGTTTACAATAACTTTGCTAGCCTGATGGCACTGTTCAAAAAATGAAGGCAAAATTGATTCCTGTGGCAGAATAGGGCTTTCCCGATCCTTCTGAACTTCGTTCTGGCTTGATGGCCCCTTGATAAAAGGAACTAGCTGAAAGGATCTGGATTTCATAAATGCCTCTACCTTCCGATGGGCAGTGACCTATTATTTTTCTCTGGAGTTATTTCCCATAATGCTTGGCTCCCCTCTTCCCCTCTGAATTCTGTGTGTTAGAAAGGTAGCCGGATCATGTGCAGCAGTGTCTCATAGAGTACCTTAAAGATTCAGAGTGAGGAGGCAGGGCTTTGCCTGGACATGAGAAACAATTGTTATGGAAATGTAGTCAGTTGTCATGGAAAACTGTGAACTGATTCTGAGTCAGATTCTTCTTTTTTAAAGGTTGATTTGCTCTTAATCTTCAAGTTAATGAGGTTCGGATCGTATCAACAATACCAGAGAATAATGCTTCAAGGACATGTTATAATGCAGGTGAACATTTTTATGAGACTTCACCTTCCAGTGCATTCATTCCTTTCACTCTGCACCTTTATGCCATTTTGAAATAACAATTTAGACAGTCTGTGAGAGCCCTATCCACCATTTGTCCCTGTTCATTTTAAAGGCATTATTGCAGTCCGATGACAACTTTGGAGGTTAAGAACAGACTTTCTCCATAGGAGGAATCCCAATTCAAAGGGTTAAGATGATTCTTTTTTTTTCTTTACTCTGAATAAACTGACTCATATAGTGCTCTTGGTATCTTTTTTAGAGAGAAAAAGGATAGACAGAAATCCAATTTTCAGCCTTCTTTGACAAAAACCTTCTTATAGTCAGTGGTCAACATCTGTAAATTTCTCTCTATTGGCCTTGCTTTAGCATGGTCCTTGAGTAGTTTATGGAGGAAGTTTACTTTACAGTATATTAGAGCTGGAAGGGACCTTGGAGAACATTTACTGCAACCTTGTCTTCTCATAGACTTCTAAATTGAGACCCAGAGAGCTCTGTTAAATGACTTGCCAATATTACGCAAGTGGACCCTGGTAGAGGTAGTGAACCCAACATCTCCTAACTCCTAGTCACATATTGCTGAAAGATTCAAGGGATAACTGCAGAGAATTGTGACTTTTAGCATTCACTGAAGTGAACTAAGACTTTAAAAATATATAGCTTAACTTACTGGTAAAATAAAATATGATTTATAAAAAAGAAAAGTTAGGTCCCAGAACTTACTGGGCATTTTTGGCAATGATACCATCCAGAAAGTTCTATTTATGTTTGGGATTTCAAAGTCATGTCACAAAAGAAAGAGGGATATTCAGAATGATAAACTTTTCAGAGTGGTCTAGGTTAAAATTTGTCAATTTTTCTTTGCTTTTTGTCATCTTGGGCTGCTTTAGAATAAATAAACATACTTTATAGGATATATAGGAAGCAATTTTTCATTTTTATATTTTCAAGTAACATAAAGAAATCTCTATAACTAAATATTATAAATAAAAATGAAATGATCATTTTTTAGAAAAAGAAAAAAAGTCTGTGACAGAATTCAGATTGGTTTCAATAAAGGCCCAGTTCAGAGTACAGTAGTTCTATAGAGATGAATTTCGTGTGATTTGAATAACGACTTTATCTCATGTCACAAAAGTATTTCAAGCACTCCCTAAATGAGCCATTTCTTTAGTGTGTGAATCTTAAAATTATAGCAGTGCTATAATTCACAAACAGTATTCTTGTGTATATAAGAGTTAAAAATGTTACACAGAAAATATCAAGGATTGAATGCTTTTTCAGTGTTTTCATTCAAAGGTTTTTTGTGAGTTTTTTTTTGATAAATCAAATAATCATCTTAGACAAATTCACTGGATTTTTTTTTTGTAAAAGAAGGTTTCAATCTGATTTCACAATGCCTTAGTGGAGAAAAAAAATCAGCTTAACAAGTTACCTTTAAAATTCAGTTGCCAAGGCAACAAACATAGCTCTCTGTACATTGCCTTTTTTGACATCATTTTTATAAATTTAGTTACTTGAACATCAAAAGCACATATTAAATATAGCCACTTTGTTTTCAACTAGTTTCATATCGTTTTCTAAACAAGTTGATTATCCTTCCATTTAATAACCCAGTATCTGAATGCTAGAATATACTGACACTCATTATTAGCCACAAACACATATAATACTTGAGGTCAGAAAAGTGGTTGATGATTTTTTTTTGTTAAGGCCATAACTCTATAAAGAAAGCAGTAGGTCAGTACTACCACCCCACTTTATATATGAGGAGACAGAGTCAAAGAAAAGATAATAACTGAAATCATATACCACAGTAGGTCAGTTTCTGAGCTAGGACTAGAATTTTCAGCCTCTGGAAGTCAGAGCACCACCTTCATGCCTGAGCCCTGTTATCTAACCCTACGATGTGTGAAAAGGAAGGACGCTTTCCCTTGAGGAAGTGGGAACAAAATACAGGGCCCATCCCTTCCCAGTGTGGAAGCCTGAGTGTTCGGCCCACCATACATGCTTATCAATGAACATTAGGGTTATTCGATGAAGAGAAGAGTGAAGAGGTGGTACCTGCACATTTCACTCCCTGAGCAATGAGACCCCACATAAAGTTGGCACAGTATTCACACCAGTGTGGACCTCTGAACGTATGGACCTGAAAGAGAGTAGAGGAGGGGGGGAAGGGAAGGGAAACACACACAGATGAGGAGGTTGTTTCACAGGCAAAACAGTTATGTTCATAAATGAGCCACGAAGGCCATGTGAAAGTTGAGAGAAATGGTTGCATACAGTAAAACCTTAATTAACTGGGACAAAATAACTCAAGGCCAAGGATTTGCTCAGAAAAGCCATTTTCTGAAAAACTTCTTTTCTCTTCAGTCAATATCTGGGGCTCAGAAAAGACTCATTCCCTTCTATTATTTCCTCAAGCCACAGTGCTGTTAATGAACACTGATGCTTAGCATGATAGTAAATATTTGTTGACTGATCTCAAGGCACGATAAGATCTTAAATCATCAAAGGGTCAACTGTGTTGACCATACTAAACAGGAAAGAGAGCTCTTATGTTCTAGAAAGATTTTTAACACCATAGGTGGTGGTGGTGGTGGTGGTGGTGGTTTTTCATGGAGTTTCAGGTTAATATTCAGTTGACCAGAGAACATGATTAACCAGAATATTTGTTCACTAAGTATTTGAGTTAATGAAGGTTTTACTGTATTTATTTATCCTTATGCCTGGAAAGGAAATGAACTCTGAGGGAGGGTGGAGAGCTAAATGCCAAAAATCCCATCAGACATCTATACGTATGGAAAAAAAGAAGTATAAATCTGAAGAACTCTTTCTAAGCACAAAATAATTTTTATAAGAAAAGGAAAAAATGCTGGTGTGACAGAGAAGTGAAGGATAAAAAGTGAGGACATTTATTCTTCTGCTTATCCCAGCAAAGGGACTTTTAAAAGGAAAAAAGAAATCACTAATTCCTTAAAATGATTAATAGCAATTTAAGCTTTACAAGCAAGGCTAGAACAAACAAAGTTGGCTAGAAAGTTACATGAATAAGAAAGAAAAAGGAAAAGGCACATTTTAAAGAAGTTAGTTATTTTTCTTATATCAAGTTTGCTTGTGATAATTCTATAACTATTTTCTGGAGTAGAAAATAATAACACCAAAATGTGAAAATTATACTTAGTTTAAAAGTATGGACATTTCCCCCAACAAGAATATTTACCTAAATATCCTAGTGAAAAATAATGAAATTTATAGTCAAGACTGCATTTTCTGAGTAGGTCCCATAAAGAGTCAACCAATGGATTTTTAAGATACATATGTCAGCATCTGATGGTATTGATATTGACAGCATTATATTGTGTATACTGTGGGTGGCCTAAAGATCAATGCCTGACCTACAATCCTTTTTGTGGCCGTCATTGGGCGCATGCCTCGGGGCATCATTTGACAGATTTGTTATCAGTTCCATAATGCTGCAGAGACTTTGAACTGCCATGTGGTCCATAATTCCTTTTATGTTTTCTTGCAGATGAGATTTAAGGACATGGTCCTGAGAAAACACAGAAGCTTCTGGAATGATTAAGGGTGTTTCTATCCTGGGGGTTTATAAAAGGGTTGGATGGAATACAGGAAGCACTGTTGGACGTCTTGAGAATTCCTCCACAAAATAAAGGGCATGCAAGTATCTTTACTCTGCAGTTACCTCTCTCTGATGGGAATGGGATGGATAGGATGCTATCAGTGCAGATATGACCTGCCACAGCATCATGGTTTAGCTTTAGGATTTTAGGGAAGTCCCTGGATAGCAAACTTTCTCAGAAGCCATCTCAGCTCAGAAATGGATAAAACCAGTCTGGTGGGTCTATGATTTTATTACTGTGGGTATTTCCTGCATTGAATCAGAAGGAAGCCCTTGTGACTCTTATTCAAATTTCCTCCCCATGCTCCCTGAAATCCTTATAGACCAGAGGTTCTTAATCTTTTTTTGCATAATAGACCTCTTTGGCCTGAATCATAGTTTCCAGAGCCCAGTCTGATGAAGCCTATGGACCCCTTCTCAGAATAATGTTCTTATATGTTTACAATAAGATACATAGCATTATAAAAGAAACCAATCACATTGAAATATAGTTACCACAATATTAAAAAAAGTTCATGGGTCCCAGGTTAAGAACCCTTGTTACAGAGGATCTAACTAATGGGTTGGGTGCCTTCATATTGTTCTAATATCGTAGGGATACCAGTGTAGAACTCAGCCTGTCTATCCATTTACACTTACTCTTGTTACATGATTCACTCACCTTCTTTTGTCATCATCTATGTCTGGCTTTGATCATTTCTGGTACAGAATAACAATGTCTAGCAGCCTTATTCAGATACCTCCAATATATTTAGCCATCTTACCTTTATTCCTTTCCAGGTTGCATTCTTGACTCTCTGGACTTTTTCTACCATGCTACAGAAGTCTCTTCACCCCTAAAATTAATTTTACCCCTGGATTTCTTACTTTGGAAACACCCTCCCCTCCCCTGTGGCTGTTCCCTCTGTTGTCTGGTTCCTCCTGAAACCTCCATTTTAAGGGGGGACCCCTAGGCCATCCACAGCTTCATTCCTCTGCGGGAGGCACTTCTCACTCTTTTGGATTTTCTCTATCTGGGATTGGGGGTGGGGTGGGGATTACTTCATCTTTTTTCACCCCAACCTCTGCTTTTCAACTTTCTTTTATGTGTTATCTTCCCCATTCAAATATAAGCTCCTCGATGGCAGGAACTGTTTGTTTTTTTCGGCTTGTATTTGTATTCCTAGCACTTAACACAGTGCCCAGCACATCATAAACACTTAATAAATGCTTCTTGACTCAAGTTGTGCTTCCTTCTCTCTCTCAAAACAGAAAAAGAAATTAAAAATTCTCTGGTAAGATCAATAAATATGATCAAAGAGTCTCAATGAGGCTTCTGCATGTATGTGGATGTCATAAATTCACACTGGGGTTTAATGTCTGTTTTGTTTTGTTTTTTTGCAGAATTTCATGATTAATATTGTTATAGGACTATTGGCTTAAAGAACCATTTGCCAGAGAAGAGTAACAGTTGAAAGTCAGACATTGCTTTAAGGCTGATTTATAAGTACTTTATAACCATTCTCCTATTTGAACCTCACAACTGCATGTGGTAAATACTACAGGTATTAATTAGCCTTATTTTGCAAATGAGGAACCTGAGGTCAGGGATATTCAATGACTTTCTCAAGGTCAAACATCTGTTAAGTAGTGAGATGCCACAGTAATTATTACAGGAAGTTTTCTAACTTTATTCTTCACAATAGTAAAGAATATGGTATCTTTGAAATCCTGTGACAGTTTTTTTTTTAATCTTCTCAATGCTGAGAGGAGAACCTACTTTCTCTGATTTTAAGATTACATGATACTAATCTGTGGAATCAATCTTTGGGGAATTATATTTTAAAAATTTGAGCTGTGGCTACGTTTTTTATAAAAGCAAACAGAGACATTTCGGTGGTGATAAAAATTTTGCCCTGTCTTTTAGATTATGTAACTTAACTCCCCAGGAAACTGTTCTAGAAATATGTTATCTAGTACTAGAAGCCTACAGATAGTTTATTTAAGGAACATATTACTTGCTTCTTTTTTGTATTCTTAATAGGTTATTTTCTCTGCATTGTGACCCCTGTTTCTTTAGGACCCTTGCACAGAGGGGTTTAATAGTTTAAAGGAAATTAAACTAAATGGAGTATCCATTCATTCCCAGCTCTAAAGCTATGCCGTGATCCTACTTCTTTAAGCAGGGGTTCTTAATCTGAGGTCTATGGACTTGTTATTAAAATATTTTGATAACTTTTTAGTATGATTCCTTTGTAATCTTTTGTACTTTATTTTATGCATTTGGAAACATTATTCTGAGGAGAGGTCCATAGGATTCACCAGACTGTCACAGGGGTTCACAGCACAGAAAATGTTAAGAACCCCTGTACTAAAGGAACGTAACCATACTGGCTTGTTTTTTTGTACTTTTCGTAACTAATTATACATTTTAAAATTGATGAATATATTGTTACTCTCTAAATCAACGAAGGAGAAAATGACATTCTGATTTTTTTTTGTAAGCTCGTTGTAGATTTCAAATGGGGATCCGTGTCCTTCCCAATGGCATTGTGACACTGATTTACCAGTATTTGCAAATGCCAATGATTGCAATCTCTTTGGGCTCGATGTTTTTCTTAAATGAGAACTAATTCAAACACCTGAACACTGGCTCCAAATTAGGAAGTCTCTTTTCTTTTTAAAATTGGAGATGAAAAAAAAAACTAAGCCCATTAAAGGACAAAGTGGCACACACATAAAACAACAAGTGTTCACCAAGACCTAGAAATTATTTCTTTTTCATTTAAAATATTTGGAGAGATAATGCTATGAGATGCAGTATAGAATACTTGGAACCAGAAAGACATAGGTTCAAGTACTGCCTCTTACACATACTGCACAACTCTCCTCTTTCTTTCTGTCTTTCTTTCTGTCTTTCCTTCTGTCTCTCTTTCTTCCTTTCCAATCAGGGTTAAACGATTTGTCTCTGGTTACATTTGAACTCAGGTCCTCCTGACCCCAGGTCTGGTGCTCTATTAATGGAGCCCCCTAGCTACCTCTGAAACTCACTTTTAACCTCTCAGTTGCCTTGGGCAACTCTCTAAGACTATAAATTAAAGAGGTGTTGACCTGCACTGGTTATCTTAATTCCATTTTCCACCAGTCTGCATCCCAGGACTATCTTCAAATGTCTCATACATGCTGTTTTATGTCATTAGCGCCGTTTACACTACACAATTTTCATTTTAGAAATGAAAAAAGAAAGAAACTCGTTGAATTAGTTATACAAGTTCAGAAAATAACAACAACAATTCCCCAGCTCAGAATAATACTGATTGTATTGCTTCATTTTGCAGACTGGAAACATCCTAGACCCTTAGGGCAGGAAGCTAGCACCTGCAAACAGTTTCATGTTGATTTAACACTGCTATTGACTACAATATCCTATTTTGTATGTTCTAATTGCCCATCTCAAAAAAAAGGTCTATTGTTAAAAACAAGATTTCACTGGTATTCACAACACTGTAATGGAATAGTGGAAGGAC